CGTGATTGCAGGGATTTAAGGGAAATAAGCAGACTTGTCGTTTAAAATCCATTTTATGTATCGGTGTTGGGGTCAGGAAAATCAATATAGAATCATGAAAACAAGTATTTGCTGTAAGGATTTTTTTGCACAGCCCTTGTCCTGGAAAGCGATGAAGCCTTATTGGAGGTCACTTAGATGAGCAGTTTGAATAGCATTTTACTGGACCACATCCAGACATGAAAGGGCTTTGACATTTTCTCTTAACTTAACAAAATTCTCAAAGAAATTCTGGCAGCCCATGTGTGGAAACACCTGGGACTGTTCTCACTGTGTTCTTCAGGCCGCCCCACCTCTGAATCCCCCATCATCTCTCTCTTCTCTATTCCCCTTTGTCCTCTCCTTTTTTCACACACTCTCCTCCTCTCCTTCATCTTTTCCTTCACATTCTCTTACTTCTATATATCCTTGGGCTTTTCCAGTTCTTTGTTATCAACTTTTAGAAGATTTTAAAGTAACTGTTTGTACCCACAGGGTTTAATTTGCATCCCCATCCCTCTGGTACGTATTTTGTATAACTGTACAGATCGCTGGAGGAGAGGAGATTTAATTGCCTTCCACCGTTGAAATAAAGCCAAGAACTGTAAGCAGCAACCTCACAGTGTTTTTAATCGACTGCAGAGTTAACTTTCAGTCTTGGAACTAATCAATTGTAGAGTAATTTGCAGTCTCAGTCGGTTTTCTGCTTTAAGAGAGGAAGGGGGAAGTAAGAAAGGAAAAAGTACAACGTCAATTAAAGTCAGTCTTTTCAAAAATGGTATTAATAAGGCTGCTACATCCATTGTTCCAAGCTTTGAGTGTTGCCTTAAATAGATTTTGAATTCAAAGACATTTGGCATTTTCCTTTCACCCAGAAAGAAATGTCTTTGACCTGAGATGTATTTGACAACTTAATCGGGTCCATTTTAAATACAAATATAGAAATCAATATTCTGTGCTCTCTGACAGTCCTGTTTGCACTTTATCCTTCAAGTCAATGTCATGTGGAGGGTGTTCATTACATGGACCATCTTTCTCCATCATTATTCTATCTTTTCTTTCAAGTATAATAATGTAAAGTAGTGATGACCATATGGGGACATTCTGCCTCTCACCACATTTACAGTCCGTGTTGTGTAAGTCGATACTTCATTTGAGTCTATTGCGTGCATTCCACTGGGACATGGATCGTATTTTAAAAGTTCAATATTAATAGAGGCTAGTGGTGTGATTATCCACTGCAAACCATTTCAAGTTACGCGTTAGTTGCCTTTCAGGGTTTCAATATCAACAATATTTGAATTAAACTCCGCTGTCTTGCACATTGCTTATTGCTTAGATTTCACGCCTGGCCTCTGAGCTGCAAGTTTAAAAAAAGATTGCTGAATTATTTGAACCACTGACCTTTCAAATTGAATCAAATCAGATTATTAGAAGCTCAAACATGAAGGGAATATCTGTGAGCCCCCAGTGATTGAATGTTATTTAAAGTGCTGTTTGGCCATTTTCTTGTCTCTTGATTTGTGGAGCTTTGCCTTTTCACTCATACCGCCGCAGCACTCACACGAGCCAGAATAGCCCGAGGGCTCGGAGATACCCACACAGTCCATGCAGGCGAAACCCACGTCATTGCACTAAGCGTAAGACCACTTGTGCCATTAAAATTGGTCCAGGAGGGAGACATCCCTCAGCAGCAATTGGCCAATCCATCATCTCTCTTTCGACAGATACTCACACTGCTGTCATCACTGCTCAAGTTTTTGGTGCTGGCAGCTTTTCAGCGTTCCTGTCTGTCATCTGTGTTTCCACACACACACACACACACACACACACACACACACACACACACACACACAATCACCATGCCCCTGTTTCTCTCTCCATACCCTCTAACTCGTGTTTTTTTTCACGTCCTCCGTCTCTGGCTCATGCACACAAGCCCCAGAAATGTGCGCATGACACATTGGGGCTGTGACATGAGTCAGTTTGCTGATGTCAGTGGGGGACACTTGATGGGAAATGACTGTGCAGCACGGGGGCAGGACGGCATTTAATGGCCTAGACCCTGGTGTTGATGGATGGATAGATAGATAGATACTTTGTTGATCCCGAGGGAAATTCAAAGCATCCAGTAGCATGTTACAAGACGTACATGACATTAAACATTTGTTACAAATTAAGCCGCAAAAAAGCTGCAAACCCCCCCTCTCCCCCCCACCTCCCCCATACATATATATTAACCCGAAAAAAGATTTAAACAATACCCCTAGATGAAACAAACTTAAACTGTGCAATTAAAAATAGATTTATACAAGAAATGTACATAACCCGTGCAGGGATAAAAATACATGTGTAATTTAAAGCAAGAACCTATAAACAGTTGAGGAAAAAAATCTGTAATTAGACCTGAATATAAAAAAATAAAAAAGTGTTGACGTTCTGAAGTTGTGTTGTTTATATATCTACAGCAATGTTTTAAAAGCAGATAGTGCAGAGTTATCAAAAACAGACATTAAATAACAGGCAGTGCAAACATTAAATTAAAGGTGCTATGTAAGAAATTGAGGTGATCATTGAAGTGTCCAACTAGAGGCTGACTCTTGGGAAAGCTGTGCAGATGGGAAGTGGAAAAAGGAAGATTTAGTCCGAGGGTGATAGGAAGAACAAGTTAAGTTCAGGACCACAGAGGGGAGCAAATAGGATGTGGTCGGCTTTGGAAGAACTGGTTGAAACTGGGTTTATTCTCGTGAAAGCCCAGTGAAGTGGGCTGCGATGTGGAGAGCAAGTAAACAATTAAATATTAATGAGTGAAGCCAACCAGCTAAGGCACATTTTGTCTAGAGTGACTTTACTGTAACCTCTGAAAAACACTTTTTCAGATCAAGTTTGAATAAGTTAACATTGCCAAAAAGCCAAAACACATCCCACATTTAGGAGCTAATTTAACTGCTTTTGCATTTTTTGCTTGGCTGCTGCAGCTCAGATAAACAGTCTGTAGCCTTTAACCACATCCGTGTTATTCTGTTTGCTGTAGGCAAGCTGCCTGATGTTTCAAAAAAGGATTTAGGCACAACAAAGTAGGTTATTTAAAATCATGTTTTTTAAGAGGGACATTACAGGATTCGATTGATGTAAACCACCTAAAAAAAAAGAGGAGGTAGAGTTCAAGCAGAGCATGACACGGCAAGAGGCAGCCAGATGGGTTGGGACGAGGGAGCGACCAAGAGGAGGTTATAGGCTGGCTGGCTGCATGGATGGATGGTGGGTGAGGATGGAAAGACGCCAAACACAGCCAGGAGGGTATGATCGAGGAGACATGCAGCATGGAAAATGGAGCAGAGGCTACTTGTGCCTAATAGGGATCTGACAAAGTAAAGCCTGCTGTTATAATGGACATGAAACTAAGCTAACATGGTTCTACACTTTATCACCAGAAGATATATATTTACATACAGGTTAAAAACAAAGGAACACAAGGGAATTTTAGAAGTTACATTTAAAGCGGAAAGAAAACTATAGGGGCTTCTTTTTTTTTTTTTTTAAATCTGGAATAAGCACATTTTTTATATTCTTACACTTTGACCAAAATCCCTTTTCAAACACAACATTAAACACTCCACATCCAGTCCAGATCCAATTAAAGATACACTGACTCAGTTGACTGGAGCGATGTCAGTAGTCCCATACTGACCTTACATTACAAAGCACATAACTTTTCTGTCCAATATCTTCTTGTTTTGATAAGTTTTTCATATCAGTTACATTGACTTAATCATGGAAGCACTGCCGAACATGTTCTTTTAATTGCCACAGTGATATTGGATGATTAGAAAATTAACAAATATCTGTTGATGCCATTTATGGCCTGTGTCCATTGACAGTGCTTTTTGCTCAAGCAGGGCTTCTCACAGGCGCTTGTTGTTGCTATGTTACGATAGTTGACTTCCACTTCCCTCAGTTGTGACCATTAGGTCTGTTTTAACTTGCTCAGTTTGCTTGATCTTTGCTTTTATTCAAGGAAATGTATTTCCTCCTCTGTTGTTGTTGACAAAGCTGACATCAGACGTCTCTCCCCTTCTTGATTCCCCTCCAAATCACACAACAAACATGCACGCCAAGCTGTCACTGCCAAGCTGTTTGTTCCATTCAGCTCTTCATGTCGGACTTAGAATACAGAAAAATTGACAGCCAGCAATATACAGTCCATCTGTAAAAATGTAGAAAGCAGCAACAGGTTAGATTAGGAATTAATGAGTTTGAAAAGATCCATATAAATGGTGGCGTGGTGTTTGCATAGACTGATCAATCACACATTTATTTGTGTTTTAATAAGATAAATTTTGATATGCAAAAGTCATAATCTGTTATTTTAACCAAATCTCTACTGAAATAATGTAGTCTACTTAAACTTTAAGTTTGCTTTTTAGTGTTTTAATGTTACTAGGAAGTGAAACTATCTTTGATCTCTTCAAAAGATGATCAGGTTGCCCTGTCATGCTATAGGAAGGGCTTCTGCTGGCATGGTTTGGATCCATCGACTGTATATATTATCTGAAAGAATAATCTCCATAAAACTCCAGTAGTAGTTTCATTCTCCTTCATAACCCATGCCGAGAAGCATTGATGCTGTTCTGGTGGCAAGTGATAGGCCAACACCTCACTAACACACTTTATGCCTGGGTTTTATTTTGTTTGCCGTTTATTTTAAGATAGTCAAGCTCATAGTTTTAATACTTTAATGTTAGTGTAACTGTTATAGGGTCATTCTACTGAGCGGTAACATATAAGCAAAACAGTTTCATATACAGTTTATATATTTGGGTTAAACTGTAATGTTGCTTTTAATTTGTTGTGATTTTACATGGTGGATTGTCAGTCTATTATTTGTTTACATTCGACTATTTGCCTTCTTTAAATAAAATGTTTACCTTCTCCAACCTCCTAACACTCATACTCTCTTTATCTTTCTGTTTCCAATCCAGGAGGATTTTCGGACTAAGGTTCAAGATTACATCAAGCATTACGCCAGATGATAGAAGCATTGGCTTCCTACTTCAGCCTCCACCAACCAACAAACCAAACTGCTCTACCTTGCCTCTGCTTACCTTGGCCAACTCCCTCACGTGTGTGAATCAACAGCTGACTCTGACTCTTACCACTCCCCTCCTCTTGACACAGCTCTGTCCATGACCTGCTGTTCACCCGATTGCAATAAACTCCACATTGCAGGAACAAAAGAAAAAAAAGAAAAGAGAAAAAAAAATAGGATGCATTCGAGGAAGGGCTTGCATATAAAAGAAAAAAAATGTGCTTTAATTATGCTAATCAATGAGTGTTACAATGACCACAATGTCTGTCCATTGTGGAGAGATCACTGAATGACGCCGCCTCGCTGGGATGTCCCTGACATGGGCGGAAACGAGCCATGGCAATGAACGGCGAGGAAAGAGATGTGATGATTCAGGGTGGGTTGGGGGGGGAAGATAAAGGAAATGACATTCAACTGTGTGAGAAATGAGATGAATGAAGAGAAGGAATATCTATTGCTATCAGTTCTCTGTTCCAGTGCCTGCCATGTTTGTGTCGCAAAAGAGAAAATGCATGCGAGTTCACACAGAGACACACACACACACACACACACACACGATGTCACACCCTGTAGTAAAAGGTGAATACACCTACTGTACACAGGTTGCTGAGCACTTGCCTATCAGTCAAACACACACACACTGACAACAGAGAGCCTACAGCCCCACAAGACAGCATGTGAATGACCACATTGTCCTGTTCTGTGTTCATTCTCTTTGCATGTTGAAACGCACACCGTACAACTCTCAAACAAACCTTCTGTGTGTTTTCATCTCCAGTGTGATAACGTACGACTACTAAAACCACAACCAAAAGTATTGTAGTGTGTTCAGTTTCACCTCTGAGCCCATGTCCCTCCTCTGCTGCCATCTGTCTCTCTGTTACACACACACACACACACACACTAACTCACAGAAAATGTCTCTATTGTTTCAATGAGGTTTATTTTTTTTTACTTATGGTGCGTTCATAAAGTACTTTGCCAATGGCACATTCTCACTCTGCATGAAGCAATGACTATGACTTTAAATGACTCATTAAGGATTTCATTTTACAACCAAACAAAACAGTGCTTTTCTTTTTTGTGCGTGCTCCCCCAGATTTAATGTGCAAAACGTTACAGAACATGTGAAATGGAATCCGCTGCAATAACGGCCATTACAATAAAAATGCAGACAACGGTAACCCACAGAGAGCTATCACCTGCATCTGCAATGCATCCCCCGACTCCTCCCTGGCTTCATGGTGCTTGTCATGCGTTTTATCTCTTTGTTAAAATGTCCCACCTGCAACTTTTATGTTGTGGTTCAGTGTTGTTTCCAGCCGCTCCAGGCAGGAAAAAGCTCCAAAACCCCCAATGTTTGATATCTGCCAAGCGCTTAACAGCAGGCAGACCGTGAGAGATGAACTGGTAAACATGGTGCTTATTTTTTTTCAGTTTTAGAGCCAGATATTTTCTTTGCAAGTAGGAGGTAGACCACAAACAGAGCAAGTAGAAAAGGCAAGACAGACTGTCACAACTCAAAAAATGAATTTGGGCCCGAGCACGAACCGTGCGAGGACCCTCTTGAAACCCTTTCAAAGAATTTTAAAAAAGCTATAAAAGACAAATCCACCCATCGATTTGTGGATGCTGCCATCTCAGTGTCTCCTGCAGAAAGTCAAAAAAAATTAGACAGCTGCTGATGAAGAAACCTTGATCAATCTCAAAATGATTTAGATGTAATATCATAGATATCAGTTTAACAACAACCTGATCACATAATGAAGAAATGTAAATTAACTTGTGATGCAGTGCTGTTTAATATAAACCTGTTCTATGATACTAAATGAGTTAATCAGTTAACAGCTGCATTTAATTATCAGACTATTTTCATTGTGAAATATGTTTTTATAGATATCAATTAAACACATTTTCTTTTCTTTTTTTTTGCTAATGCAGCTGGTCTGCACTGATTACAAGCAGCTCTGACCTGACCATGCTCGCCAATATAGGGACATCATATAACAGACCATTTTATTTACTGCAGGTTTAAAAACAACTAAATACCATCCTCCATCAGATCACTCTGAGAAGGTGTGTGTGTCCGCTCGTATACGGCGTGAGTTTTGTACACTCCCCATTTGTTCCAATGTGTAGGTTTGTTTTGACATTTAAAGCAGATCAGAACTCCACGGGTTCTTCCTGTTGTCTTTTACATTGTTGTGTTAAAAAAATGTATTAGGAAACTGTTCTCTTCCCAGGACAGCTCACATTCAAACCCGCAGATGTATTAGGGAGACATAACTGCAGAAATGGTCAACTTGTGATTTTCCCAGGGTTCGTCTATAGTGTGATTAGTATCGTCCTCTGTGGCCAATTAACACCAGTAATGGTCTGTTAACAAACATCATTCTCAATTTATGATGAGGAATAGAAAGACCTACAAGTCCTACACTCTTCACACAACATGGATTTAAGTCTAACCTAATAGTCATTGTTTCATTGTAATTCATTTTTAATTCGATAATGAAGAACATTTTTACTGTCTTCAGACTTTATGAGCGCATTATACGCCCCTCTCATTCTCGACGTTTCTGCAACTAAGCTAACATGCCGTTTATTTATTTCTGATAGACAGTACTCCATTCTCTCTTTATGTGTCATGACTCTGTTTTCTCTGTATGGATGTGCTCTAAAATGTCAAAAGCAGAGGTTTCTAAAGACACTTAGATATCAAGGTAACTTGCGAGCAAGCTAGCCAGCAAGTGGGTTAACACGCTATTAAGGGAGTTAGCAAGCTAACACGTGCATTGTTTTCTGTCATTTAAAGGAACTCTTTCTTTTCATCAGGTTGTAAAGTTTTATGGTGTCAAGCAGGCTGGCCTGCTATAGGCTAACCAAGGCTAGATCTATTTGGCATGCATGCCAGTGGGTTAGCTTGTTGGCTAGCCAGAGAACAGAGGTGCTGCTATTCTCATATTATTCTATTCATATTCTAACATGACTTGAGTGGGGGTTGAGGAGCACTTGACCCTGTCTAACCAATTTAGCCAAGCAGATAATATCAAACTGTCTTTGTGAACCTCTGCTGTAGCGAACATTTGCCATAAAATGTACATTCATTTTGTCTCTGTGAGAGAGAATAAGAGAGTGTGTCCATCCGTTAGCCTCTGAGGGTGTGGTAAGTGTGTGTATGTTTCGCTCGGCCCTGGGTAGCATTGTGCCTCCAGTTTGAGTCGTGTCTCTGAACATCATGACTGGTCTCACTCCATTCAGCTTTATGTTCACAAGTCTGCATGAGGCAAAGTCTTTGTGATCTGCCAGTGGTGCATTTTACTAAGGATGTCAGAAATGTAGTTTTACGTGGGAGGTGTGTGTGTGCGTGTAAAAGTTGAAATTTTGTGCTTGTTGAGTGTGTGTATGCGTGAGCGCAGTTACAGTATGACTTGTTGAAATGATGTGACTTGTTAGCATGCTCTGGTTCCCTTTTTACCCCTCTTTTTTTGTTATTCTGGCCCAGGGGTAAACAGCTCAAATTATTATTGTTTTCAAAGAGAAAGTAAGCAGAATAATAGAAGATACTCACTTCTGCCAGAATAAAGGACCTGACAGTATTTCAGATACCAGGACTATTGAAAGAATATGTGAATATTGGTGTGCCATGGCAATGCAAACATGGTTTATTCCAATAAAGCTTGAAGGCTAAAGGAACTGCCTTCTAATATGAAGCCATCATGTGTGTTTGCTCTGACAGCTGACTGCTATGGTAGCAGTTGTGTCCTGAATATGGTAGCCCAATACTTTGTACTGAATCTTAGCCTTACTTACACTCAGACATAGCTTCCCGTTGGACACGCTGCCATACGTCCTTTGTTTTGGCAGTTAGCAGTGTTTTTTCCCAGGATGGGATTGGGAAATGTCTCTGCTTGGGCTAACTCCATCTTTGGGCCAGAGGAGAAGATTAACAGCCTGTTCTTCAAATCCTCAACCTTTTCTTTCTCAGATTGTATATTCATTTTTTTAAGATATATTAAAGAGAATATAAATTAAAAGTATGAGTATTGTTCATTAATTGTATACTTGTTTCACCAACGTATAGTTGTAATAACTGATAGTAGGAGTAGGTGTGTTACAGTAATTATATTTGTCCTTGACCATCATGATTCTGCAGTCGCATGCCATATATGTCTAAGTGGAGAAAAAAGGAAGTTACACATGGTAGTGTCCACTCCCCAGTCCAGGAGGCTGTAATGCTTGTAACTGTTTTCTAACTAAACAGACAGAAGAAGAAGCAGATGCAACAAAACACAGAATAGAAGGGAAATGCACGCCATGCAAGATGACACAGCTGAGCTACAAGACTATGGAGCCGTCTGCTTTAAATCAATTGTGTGGGGAAACTTTGGGTTCACTGTGCAGTATGGCATTGGAAAGGTGTCGGAACAATGAAAATTGGATGAGATCACCCAGAGGTGCCAATCACTTGTGATAGGCAAACCAAAACAAGTGTCCCATCCAATGTTTACATATGTCAGTCCATGGTCCTTTACAGGCATGAACGAGCTGACTAAGCACAAATAACTGCTGTACATGCTGTACTAACGACTTTGTGACCACGAAGTCCATTAATCATAGATATACTATCACAGTTGCTATAAATATTTTTTCCACAATAGTTCAAATTTCAAAACTTTGTACTCAAATGATTGAGATTTGATCCTGAATTGATCCACAACATTACTTAATACTCATATTCAGAAGTTTACAGCTGAAGAAAGTGGTCTGGGGATTTAATTACTCTTGAAAGGGAAAAATTCTGTCAAAAAGTCTATGAAGCGCTTTTTAAACAGGTTTGTTTCGTTCAGTTTCTTTGTTCTATCATGTTTTTTAAAATCCGATTTATTGTAAAATATCAGGGATTTCAGGTCGCAATTTTTCATGAAAGAGTTGAGTCCAGTTGAGAACCACTGGTCTAAATAACACAACATTGAACAAACTCTAACTTGCTCTCCTGTCAGTTCTAAATGGTAAATGGATTTGAGCTTGCAGATCGCTTTTCTAGTCTTCTTGCTACCCAAAGCGCTTACACATTCACATCCATTCAGAGGTTGCTATGTAAAGTGACAATCAGAAGTAACTAATCCCATTCATACACATTCAAGCCTACGGAAGCCTGAACTATTTATAAACCATCAGAATGAAAATGATAAATGCAGAAATAACACAAAGATGGCAGCACAAGGGCATTCATTTTTTAACTGAGCAGAAAAGATGCTGATGTAGTTATAATTATGGTCATAACACAGTGGTCATACTATGGGAACATTTTTTCCACAGGGGTGAACTTTATGCTTGCCATGGGTTTGTAGCAGCTGGCTCAAAGACAATCTTCACTTCCTCTGCTTGCAAACAAAGCAGGCCCCGAGCTCCCTGGGGTCTGAAGCTAAATTCTACCGTTTGTCGCTGCAGCACATTCCCACCTGACACCCAAGTGCTCCCACTTCATCCTCCTCATTTAGAACATTTTGCGCCATCTGACAGCCTAAGAGGAAGTGGACCCTAACTTAGGTTTAGACAAACAGAATCCTACTTTTAGCAGCCTAAATATTAACACAGACATAATGATGTAATATAATGTTCCTATATTTAATACTTTTGATAACATGGCTCTGCTAGGGGCATTCTTAGGCATGATGTCAAGCATAGAGCTTGAATAGTCTCTTGGCAGTTCCAGTCACCATGTAACCATGGTCTTGTTTAAATGCAACTATAACTGCAAAACTTATGAAATCTACATCAGCCTCAGCTCTATGTCGGGTTTAGTGCTAATAAGTAAATGTTAGCATGCTTAAATACGAACCTGCATGGGAAACATAATTTCTCTAACATCAGGATTTTATTTAAGCATGTTAGCATATTTTCAATTGTCACTCTTTCTTGATGAGTAATCCTTCACCTTTTTATATATTAATTTTACATTTAGATAAAGCGAGTTCTCACAGCTGACAAGGCAGCTTAATGTAATGTTTGACATTACCACTTAAAAGCAGTTGAAATGAAAAGTAGATTTTAAAATTGCTCTATTCATTTTTATGTGAATCTGAACAATAAAATAGCAAAAGAATCTGCACTGATTTATATGAAAATAGCATTATTTGCAACATGTCAGAGCTTAAATCTACACACCTTTTGAGGAAATAGTTTCCTCCTTTTTCTGGCTGAAATTTTCTTTTAATGAGATTTGGTGATCATTCTGAGATCCAAAATGTAGTTTCACAAAACAATTTAACTGAAATACATGTATCATCTCCACACCCTTGTGTGTTAGGTCAAATATTTAGCCCTTTAATCTGGTAAAGTTACACTCAGCACTTAAACAAAGCTCCATGTTTCAACAATCTTGATGACATCTGAACTCTATAGAGAAACAGGATGTCACTATAGTTACTAAATTTAGAGTTGATAATTTTAATTATTGGCCCATTATTATTATTTGTATATGCATTTTTTCTATGGTATGTCTTTCTAAACATTTGTTGCAGACATGTAAAGATATTGTTGGAGTTTTCTAAATGCTTTTTGCAGTCTGCACGGTGACAGACCTACAGACCTGCAGCATGCACAGTGACAGACCTACAGACCTGCAGCCTGCATAGTGACAGACCTACAGACCTGCAGCCTGCACAGTGACAGACCTACAGACCTGCAGCCTGCACAGTGACAGACCTACAGACCTACAGCATGCACAGTGACAGACCTACAGACCTGCAGCATGCACAGTGACAGACCTACAGACTGCACAGTGACAGACCTACAGACCTACAGCATGCACAGTGACAGACCTACAGACCTACAGCCTGCACAGTGACAGACCTACAGACCTACAGCATGCACAGTGACAGACCTACAGACCTACAGCCTGCACAGTGACAGACCTACAGACCTACAGACTGCACAGTGACAGACCTACAGACCTGCAGCATGCACAGTGACAGACCTACAGACTGCACAGTGACAGACCTACAGACCTACAGCATGCACAGTGACAGACCTACAGACCTACAGCCTGCACAGTGACAGACCTACAGACCTACAGACTGCACAGTGACAGACCTACAGACTGCACAGTGACAGACCTACAGACCTACAGCATGCACAGTGACAGACCTACAGACCTACAGACTGCACAGTGACAGACCTACAGACCTACAGCATGCACAGTGACAGACCTACAGACCTGCAGCATGCACAGTGACAGACCTACAGACCTGCAGCATGCACAGTGACAGACCTACAGACCTACAGACCTACAGACCTACAGACCTGCAGCCTGCACAGTGACAGACCTACAGACCTGCAGCATGCACAGTGACAGACCTACAGACCTGCAGCATGCACAGTGACAGACCTACAGACCTACAGACCTACAGACCTACAGACCTGCAGCCTGCACAGTGACAGACCTACAGACCTGCAGCCTGCACAGTGACAGACCTACAGACCTGCAGCATGCACAGTGACAGACCTACAGACCTACAGACCTACAGACCTACAGACCTACAGACTGCACAGTGACAGACCTACAGACCTACAGCATGCACAGTGACAGACCTACAGACCTGCAGCATGCACAGTGACAGACATACAGACATACAGACCTACAGACTGCACAGTGACAGACCTACAGACCTACAGACTGCACAGTGACAGACCTACAGACTGCACAGTGACAGACCTACAGACCTGCAGCATGCACAGTGACAGACCTACAGACCTGCAGCCTGCATAGTGACAGACCTACAGACCTGCAGCATGCACAGTGACAGACCTACAGCCTGCAGCATGCACAGTGACAGACCTGCAGACCTACAGACTGCACAGTGACAGACCTACAGACCTACAGACTGCACAGTGACAGACCTACAGACCTGCAGCCTGCACAGTGATAGACCTACAGACCTGCAGCCTGCACAGTGACAGACTTACAGACCTGCAGCCTGCACAATGACAAACCGAGTATTGAGGTGTTATAAGCCAGCAATGTGTTTGTACGCTTGAATGCACAAAATGTTGCACTCCATCTGACAACTGACAGGCATTCACACATTGATGACTGAGGAACACACACACACACACACACACACACACACACACACACACACACACACACACACACACACACACACACACACACAAAAACACACAGACAATTCCAACATCTGCCAGTTATCCACACACACACTGCTATTACGGCAAGTTTTGGAGGAAGCACTATCGTACTGTACACTGGCCCTGTGGCTATACCTTATGATTGTTACGTGTGTGTGTGTGTGTGTGTGTGTGTGTGTGTGTGTGTGTGTGTGTGTGTGTGTGTATGTGTGTGTGTGTGTAGTGACAGCTGACAGCCACAGCCAGGTACTGAGACGGGTCAGTGTTATAAATCATATTTCTAAAGCTTTTGAATATCCTGGTCACAATAACACACCTGCAGAGCAAATATGCATTCTTAATCAAGCCCTCTTTAACTCTCCTCCATTAACTTAAAAGTACATATTCCCACTTTTATTAAAAGCCCCAGGGAGGAGGTGTTGTGAAAATAATGAGCAGCAACAGAAATCATATCCCTGCAGACATCCTGTTGACAGCACACCTGCCAGGGGTATTAAGCAGGAGATTAATAAGTGTAAGTGACGGGTCATTTGTCACACAAATTGGCTGCCTAGGAGCTGATGTTGATCGGTAGAAAAGGATAAAGTTGAACTCACGCATTTCAATATGTCCTGTTTTCTTTTTGGTGTGCCAAATTGAAAGTACAGCAGCTGGAAAACTAAAGAAACATGCTTTGTAGGAGGAGGAACCAGATGAAAGACCTCTTTTTTAGTAACTAGAAGAATGATGAAGAGTGAAAGTTATTTTTTTAATTAGATACTTGATTGATCAACATTTATAAGCTGCAGATTTGTTTAACATGTAAAGTCTTGCTCTTACTGATCGTTCTTTAACCCTTTTACCTGGATGACAAGCTGTCTCCTTTTTTATCTTATGACTCATC